AAGTTCGGTATAAAAAAACTAAAACTATTGTAGGCTAATGAAAATTACCGATAAAGACAAGGGAGACTGGAATAGTCCTTTCTGGCTCATTAGCCATTATCAGTCAGTTAATAGCCAAGCCCACGTGATACACCACTCGAGGCTCAACCCCGCAACCTGCCGATCAGAAGTTTAACGCTGCAACCATCGAGCCAAAAATGGCCATTCAAGTTTACGTTGTCGTCGTTGGCGATGTTTCTCTGCCTCTAATATGCTATCCACCGAGCGGCTGCTGGGGGGGGGGATCGAGAGTGAGGCCGAAGGCACAACAGGACTAATTATTCCAGTTAGCGATCGGTGGGCGTTCGTTAACGAAGTATCCTAGGTTGTCCGAAGCGCATTTAGCAGGATGTGTAGTTCTCACCCAGAACCAAGCTGCAGGGAAACCTATAATATGGAAGTGCTAGTAGTGGGAGCCTTTTAAAGGTAGTAAGCGTGGTTTTCTTAAATGTATAAAAAGCAGGACATTGTATTTACGCTGCATTCCTGTTTTACGGCAGTAACGGAGTACTTCGTAGGAAGGTAGCTTGAAGGGAGGTTTAAAACCATCTGTTTCATACCAGTCCGTGATCTACCTTATATAATTTTTGCCATCGGCCAACCCCGGCCGACGAGAATGTCCCGTCTTCACAAGGATCAGTTCTGCGTCAGCAAAATTTGAGTTTATTCATAGGAGGGCAAAGGCAAAAAAGAACATCTCTTGCGACTACTGCTCGTCTGAAGGAGTTTCTTGTTCGTGCCGTGCATGATTTCCTTCTCCTACCCTTCCTCATGCTCTTCGCTGCGTTTTTTTCTTGAAAAAGTGCATTTCTTTCACACGACCGACAAATGCAGCATATGATGGTTTCCTACTCCCAAGAGTCTCCCGTCTCTCCCATACTTTCTGTTTCGCGCATTTTCCTACCGTTGTTTTCTCACGTTTTGGGGGGTAAGTCCGCGCCTTCTCGCCTGCTTTATATTCAGTTGAGCTAGCTAATGTACGACGGCTGAATGACTGGTCTTCAAGACTGAATTGGTAATGAGGTATTGCGTCTGTATGCGGATATCGCCAAATTCAAACAGCATACCCGCATACGCGCTGAAGCGCTACACTTTACTGTGCACGTACATGCAGTCCTTTCAGTTGTTATCACCCCCTGTCCATGACTCACGCGTCGACGGTAATACTTGTCATCCGCTTACTGACCTGTAGTAAATCATTCCGGTCGATTGGGCAGTCGTCAGGCCAGCGGCTGCACTGCTGAATTGCATGTTACGTACTCACCAGGCCGCGTGTAATCGCAGATTTGCTGCACGCCGATCAGACGGGATTTTTGCATTCCTTCGCCGTCGCACGTTTCACTGCAGAAATTCGTAAGAATATTCGTGGCTCGGAGTCCTGTGCCGGAAACCTGTCACTTGTTTTTTGGAAGGTTGGGCGGAACCGTACAATTCGTTAAAGTTAGAAAAAAATTAACTCTAGCCAGAATGGCCGATAACAGTGTCCCAGTAGAAAGCAAAAACACATCCCATGTAGGGTTTGCGCTTTCGTTAATCGCCCGTGCTTTAGCCTCCAAGTCATTGACAAGCCCTTCTGACTGGGAGAGTATCTGGAACCTGTAATTAAAGTCCTAACTGAATAATTACGCGTATATGTACCTTGGTGGCGCACCTAAGCGACACAAAGTTGGTAGAAGGCACTGTCTGTCTGTCAGGTAAAATCCACCTGTTCAACCGTGATCAGGCTTTACCTTAACAGCATATTTGTTCGGCAAGTTTATGGAATCACTGGCTTCGTCTTCAGACGTGCTTTCACTGGGTCTCCTCCGTAAACTGTTCCCGATATAAAAAAGTTGTAAATGTACTGGAAGTAACCATACAGGAGTTCCGTCTGTGGCTGTGGAAATGACTCCAAAGCGCCTCACCAGTGTTCGTTATTCCCCTATCTCATCACAATACTACGCAATTCTCTAGCTTTGGTAGATGGCTGTTCCTCTTGCCTTTTATTTATCTCTTGATTCCTCTGAATTTGAATGATAAAAACCATGAAACAACTTTGTACACCTCTTTTATATGAATGTAGTAGTTAACACACAGAGGGCTACTTTCCATATCTATAAAATAATTAAACAAACCAGGCCGGGTCGAGATATTTATTTTAAATCTAGGAGGCTTACAAAGC